ATATATATTTTCGTTTTGAGATGGGATGTCCTTAAGTTGCTGAGGCTGGCTTCATGGGGCAATCTTCTTGCCTCAGTCTCCTGAGTTGCTGGTATTACAGGAGTGTGCCCCTGTACCAACCCTGTTTTACATTTTTAAAATGCTTTAATAATTAAATGAAAAAATGGGGAGGCTATTTCAGTTCTCCCAAGACTTGGAGAAGCCCCAGGTCTGAGAGGGCCCTCAGCAGAGTGTATGGCATAACATTACCACTGGTGAATGGCGGCCACATCTCTCCTGATGAGGCGGGGGGAGAAGGGTTCCAGGTCTTGCTGGTCAGGGCTGCCCTCTCTCTTTTCTACTGTCCCTTGCAGGTGCCAGCTGTGAGGACCAGCCAGCTGTTGGAGGGCTGGTCCAGGAGGCTGAGGAAGGTGTCTTCACATATGTGTTCCGGCCATCCCACCACACACGCAGCCGACAGGTGACTTCGGCCCAGCTGTGGTTCCATACGGGGTTAGACAAGAAAGGCACAGTGGTCTCCAATAGCTCTGGGCCCCTGCTAAGTCTGCTGGTACTGTCGTCTGGGGGACCCATGGCTGTGCCCATGTCCTTGGGCCAGGCACCCTCTCGCTGGGCCGTATTGCATCTGGACACCTCTGCTCTCCCTCTGCTGACTCACCCTGTCCTGGTGTTACTTCTGCGATGTCCTCTCTGTTCCTGCTCAGCCCGGCCAGAGACCACACCTTTCCTGGTGGCCCATACTCGGGCCAGACCACCTAGCGGAGGGGAGAGAGCTCGGCGCTCCACTCCCCCAATGCCCTGGCCTTGGTCTCCTGCAGCTCTGCGCCTGTTACAGAGGCCTCCAGAGGAACCTGCTGCCCACGCCTACTGCCACAGAGCTGCACTCAACATCTCCTTCCAGGAGCTGGGCTGGGACCGGTGGATCGTGCACCCTCCCAGCTTCATCTTTCACTACTGTCATGGTGGCTGTGGACTGCCCACTCTGCCAGACCTCCCCCTGCCAGTCCCCGGGGTTCCCCCTACCCCTGTCCAGCCCCTTTCTTTGGTGCCAGGGGCCCAGCCTTGCTGCGCTGCCCTCCCAGGAACCATGAGGCCCCTGCACGTCCGTACCACCTCAGATGGAGGTTACTCTTTCAAGTACGAGACAGTACCCAACCTTCTCACACAACACTGTGCTTGTATCTAAGGGGTTCTGCTTCCTTAGCCCAAAGCTGGTGACCAAACCCCTACCACTGTCAGTGGGAGGAAGGGCAGAGTGCAGAAAATAAATGGTTCCCCCTTCCTCCTTTCTTCTACTTCTCTGCCAGAGGGATCCCTCCCCATCCACCCCGCCCCCCCCCCCCACCATGGGCAACATGTGATAATAAAGAACAACCAGTGCATATGACTTGGCATGCAGTCTCAGGCTTCTCTGAATTGGTGTAGGGTAGGTTTGGGCCCCAACAGCATGGGATTGTGGGATTTCAAGTCACTTAGCCATACTTGACCTCACAGATCTGGGATCTAAGAGCTGCAATTGAGTGTGTTTCTGTTGGGAAGTTACAAAGGTGTCCCAAGCTCCTTGGAAGCCACTCTGGAGGCAGAATTGGCCCTCTTGCAAGCTGACATGTCAATCAGGCTGCCTGCCCTGCCACACCTAAAAGAAACTGCTATACTCAGTATCTCGATCCACTGTGGCCAGAAGACCCCTCCCCTGCCATTCTCTACCCTTGTTGAGGATGCCCTGCTCAAGGTCAGGGGATTCAGAACCTGGTCTTCGGAATCTCATGGAGAAAACTGTTCATTAGTCAGATCTTGGGATCTCTTGGGAGGCTGGGTGGAAAGAAAGGGACAGATGTATGAGCTGGTGGTGTCAGAAAGAAGTTTAAAAGGGCAGAGAGGTGGTGTCACGTTGAAGTCACATCACCAGAATGAAGACCCGAGAATTTCATTTTGCTGAGGTTCCTGGAATTTGAATCTTTCCCTGGCTCCTGAGGTCGATTTCATGAGGCCTCGCTGAACTGGGGTTCTGGCTCTTGAAATCTTTGGCTCCCTTGATGCCCCTCATATACCTTGAGGTAACTCCTTAACTCACCACTTAACACCAGGAGGGTGGAAAGACAGAGACCACCACGGGGGGATGTGTGCCCATGAGAGGGCAGGGCAGAGTGCCGAAGGTCCTATCTTTTCCTGTTTGTTTCCTATTGTCCATCTTCCTCCAGATTTGGGCATAGGGACACCCCTTCTCTGGCCTTCCTCTGTGCTTTTGTCATGCTCTCATTTTCTCCATCTTATCTACCCCAGGGTTCTGGCTCTCAACCCCGGATGGTTCCATCATCCAGTCTGTGTGTGTGTGTGTGTGTGTGTGTAAGAGGCAGGGATGTTCCATCTATTAGAAACTCATTCTAATACTGACTGCATTACTCCAGCGTGTATTTGTGCTGAGAGTCTGATTTGTCAAAGGCTCCCTGCTGCCAGCCCTGCTTAACGGGTGGGTGAGGAAGTGTCTGCCCCTACAATGGGGAATGGAGGGGAAAGAATCTCAACAGGTCACACTTGTGCTAACACCCTTCCCCCCACCTGCAGAAACCTGAAGGAGCTACTGTTCCCCCAGCACAGGGGCCCTCCGGAGCAGTACAAGTGCACTGCATACTTCAGCACAAGTCCCAGGCTCTATCCACAGAGTCCCCACTGCTGCCCCCACACTGGAGGGGCGAGGGCTTCGGTTCACACTCTGGAATCTCCCTTAATCTCTAACCAGCATTGCAACTACTTGTGCCCAGGGCCAGTGGGGGATGGGGGATTTTCCTCAAGGCTGTTTGTGATCCCTGTTCCCTGCCCTTCCCTAGGATGCTGGGGCCTCTAAGTCTCTGAGCTCCCCGTCCCAGGGTTAAGCTCTGAGGGTTGGGGACATTCTACTCAGGGTCACAGGACTCTGCACTAGGTCAGTTAGCAGATTGGTGTTGTAAGTAAAGTTTTTATATGTCTGAAGCAAAGTAAGAAAAGTGAGTACAGCAAAATAAAGCACAGCGCCAAGTGTTTTCATTTTAAAGGGCTGTTCTGTATTCCTGAGTTACTTTTTCTGTGTGTGTGTGTGTGTGGGCATGTGCATGCATTTGTGTGTGTGTGTGTGTTATTTCTTTTATAATATTATAAAGATGAAAGGTAGTAGGTGTTTTACTTTTTTTTTTTTTTTTAAGTTCTACTTAACAAAATTAAACTTAGCAACTCTAGTTTGGACCCTAAGATTTTTCTTCAGATTTTGCTGTATGGCAAAATCCCAGTCTGGGTCACGGGTCTGGGCCTTCTGGAGTCTCTGAGTCCTTAGATTCTGCTAATTTAGCAAACCAGAGAGCTATGTCCGGCCCTCTCTGAGAGGGGTCCAACAGTGGCTAAGATATCTTTTTCTCCTTGCTCCTCACCATGAATCCAATCCCAAAGCAGTGGATTTCAGCTAAGCTCCCTGTTCCCAGTGCTGCTCTGTGAAAACTCTTAATACAGAATCAGATTAAACAGAAACCCAACATAGACAAAAAATAAATTAGATAATAACTGGATAATTGGCTCATGACCAGTCCACAGATACCACTGGCTAAGGTATGGCTTAACTATAGGTTCAAAAGATGCTACTTACCTGCAGGTGCTACTTTCCCTGGGTCAACTCCATTCAAGGTGCAGGGTAACCCTGGGTAGCTCTAGGCTCCCATCAATCCACCACTTGGTCTAGCATCAGAGAGTTGGCTTCCAGAAGTCCTAGGAGAGGTCCATCTTCCACATGACTAAAAATGATCCATCTATGTGCTCATGTCACTTAGGTGACTTAAAATGCTATTTAAACAGAGTTTAATTTCCTTTGTGTGGTGTGGAAGCCTTTGGCAATCTATCCTAAACCCATCTATGCAGCCTGATTTCTTACGTATTCTTCTCTTCCTCTCTGCCTGCTATGGCCTGAGTGTTGGTGTCCCTCCAAAATTCATATGTTGGAACTTAACCCCCAAGGTGATGGGTTTAAGAGATGAGTCTTTGGGAGTAATTGGGTCATGAGGGTTCTGCCCTATATGGGATTACTGCCTCTATGAAAGGACCCAAGAGAGGGAGTTTATATACTTCCTTCCCTCCCTACCACCACGTGAAGATGCAGCAGCAAGACACCATATAGAGAGGACAGAGCAAATCCCCATCAGACAATGAATGTGTCAACCCCTTGATTTTGGACTAGAACTATGAGAAATAAATTTCTATTATTTATCTGATGCAGCTCTAGGGATCAAATCCAGGGCCTTGCACGTGTCAGACAAGCACAGTACCACTGAGCTTTACCTCCAACTCAATTTCTGCTACCTACAAATCACCCCGTTGAAGGTATTTGTTATAGCAGCAGGAACAGACTAAGACAGCACCTGAACACACATACCCAGACTCTGTTCATGCTAATCCTGGTCATTCCCCAAATACATCATTGTCTTTTCAAGTAGCCCTGTCTTTAGCAGGGCTCCTTTTCTTAGGCCACGCCTCCTTTAAGACACAATTCTGATGATATCTATACTGTGACTCTTCCCTCGATTCCAGTTTTTCCTTTTTCATTGCTTCTTGGAACTTTATTCTTTTTTAATTTTAATTTTCTAAAAAATTTTTTCTTTAAAAAAGTTTTATAAGTGGGCTGGGGTTGTAGCTCACTGGTAGAGTGCTCTCCTCACATGTGGAAGGCACTGGGTTTAATCCTCAGCACCATATAAAAATAAAAATGAAGGTACTGCATCCATCTACAACTAAAAATTTTTTTTTTAAATTTCATAGGTAACATAGATGCATTCTCACAGTAACAATTAAAATACTGAAGATAAAGCTGAGGTTCCCCTTGATCATTCCAATTTTTTAATATTTATTTTTTAGTTATAAGTGTACACAATATTTTTTATTTTATTTTTATGTGGTGCTGAGGATTGAACCCAGTGCCTCATGCATGCTAGACAAGTCCTCTACCTCTGAGCCACAACCCCAGCCCCTGATCATTACTATTAATTCCAGTTCCCTCCACAGAGTCAAGTATCCTACCCTACATTGTTCTATGAGTTTGCGTACGTAAATGTGCCTTGCAGAAAACGTCTTTTCCCCCAATGATAAGTATCATGCTATATGTATTGGGCTGCAATTATTTTGCTTTATGTTATGAGTTTTCTTTAACTTTATTTTCTAGTCTATTACCTTTATTCCTGTAACAATCCCCTCTAGTAAGAAATAAGCTTCATTTGTTAATTTTATTATTTATACATCAAGTATTAATATAGCACTATGTACCAGGCACATTGCAACTGAAAGCTCATAGCAATCATATGAAGTAGTCACTGATTTTATGCCCATTGCATAGATGGAGAAACCAAGGCATGGAGAGATTAAATAATCTATCCAGAGTCACATCCCTGGTAAGTGGTAGAATCTGGGTTTGGATTCCAGAAGTTTATTAATTTATTCTATTATTGGTTGTTCAAAACATTACAAAGCTCTTGACATATCATATTTCATACAGGATTCCAGAAGTTTAGTTCAAGACCTCCGCATACTATGTTCCTCCAAATGTTCTTCAAATGTGATTCCTGAGGAGATGAAATTATTCCTGTCTGTTGATGAACCCTATGTCATTCCTGGTTCTCTAACAAACAGTTTCTGGAGATAGCAATCCTTCCTTCCTTCCTTCTTGGACACTTTATTCCTTTCCTGGGGGTTGAACTCAGGGGCACTTTACCACTGAGCTACAAAGCCAATACCTTTTATTCTTCAATTTGAAACAGGGCCTCATTAAGATGCTGAGGTTGGCCTCAAACTTGCAATCCTCCTGCCTCAGCCTCCTGAGTCACTAGGATTACAAGTATGTACCACCTCATCCAGCTTAGTCTATGAAATTTCTTATCCTTTTATTATTTCTTTTTTTCTTTCTTCTTCATTCCTTTCTGCCTATTTTAATAAATTTGTAAAGATTTGTAAAATCTTTGCTTACATCACTTTTTACCTCTTATTCTCCCTCATGGATCCATTCTTCTTGATGCTGATACATCCTTTTTACTATTTATTTCAGAGAATATCTGCAGATGATACTTTCTGAGTTTCTGCCTAACTAAAAAAGGTCTTTATTTTTTCACACTGGAATGATGGCCTGATTGTTCATATAATTCCAATCCAAAGATATTTTTCCTCTGAACTTCGAATTTTTTCCCTTTTCTTCTTGTACCTTCTGTTCTTCAATGAATGACTCTGCTTCAATATGATTCCCAGACTTCTGTAGCTCAATTATTATTTTTTCTTCCTTCATTGGATGTTTTCAGGATTTTCTCCTTACTGTGGTATATGAAATTGTATCACAGTAGAGCTACATGTTAGTTTCACAAATGGATGCTGGTTTCATGGGGCCTT